CCCTTGAGGGGCCATCGTAGCCGTCTTGGAGGCCATCTTCGGGCCGTCTGGAGCGGGAACAGCGATGACCTTGGAAGCTTACGGGTCTTTATTCCGTGCCAGCGCATTAGGACGGAGATCTTAAAAGATGTGTCCTAAATTTGGGCACGCCGTGCATCCCTGCGGCACGCCAACAGGGGGCGGCGGATATAGCGTCCTTCGGCGCTACCCGCCATCGTGCCAGGGTTGTGGATCGGAGGCTTCTCAATGGATCGTGGGCTCTTGGGGTCTGTTGGGACGCCTCACGCCTCTTGGCGGCCTCTTGGAGATTTGGTGGTGCCTCCTCGGAGCCTTATCCTTCGGCGTGATGTTTTCAACTTTTGTTGCGAGTCTTTGTTGGGTATGTGTGAATACAGTGATCGCAGTGATAGCGATCAGGATGGCAGGAACGATGGCGACGGCGACGACGATGGCGGCAACGCTTGAGATGATGGCGCGAACATGTTGTGGACGCATTCTCATCAGGTTCGGTGAGCCAGGCGACTGCACGGCGCATCGGCAAACTTAGGAAAGGCCACCGGAAACTCGGCGAGACTGTGACGCTTTAGAGCCGTCGCCCCATGACCCCAAGTAGCCGTGGAATAGAACACGCAGGCAGCACAACCGCAACGCTAGCCACGAGCAGGCCGGTTCGGCGGGAGGGGGGAGGGAGGAGGAAAGGCGAGGAGGGGCGGAGGACAGGGAGCGAGAGGGGGGGCAACAGACCTTGGTCGGTCAATTGCCTGTAGACACATTCTGCCCACTGCTGTAGACACATGCTTTCTCATCGAGGATACAATAATCCCTAACGCAAATACGCGATGAAGACGCGGCCTCACTGAGGTCCCCGTCTTTGCAGTAAGGATGATACATCTGGGCGATGTGGTTCGATACATCTGTAGAAAGGACCCCCTATCCCTAATGCTCTTGGCCCTCTAACTTAACTAGGTCCCCTCCCAGAGGGTTAGGGGTTCTTTTTCGGGAATCGCTTACCGGCGCCAACGATGGCGGCTTCATGTGGGTGAGACCCCCAGAAAGTTCGAACAAATCGAGTGCCTGCCGGCCAGGGTGGCCGGCTTCTGGGCAGGGGGAGGAGGAAGAGCCCCTCCCGCACTCGAGCTCGCAGCAGCAGAAGCTGCTCACGGGGGTGCGTTCAAGCGTACAGCTTCCGCTTGGGACTTGATCGAACAGATGCGGCTTCCCAAAGTTTCCCGAGGATTCCGCGCTTCCCGCTCGTTGCTGGCTGCGCTTCCACCGGGGCTCAGCGTCAGAATCCAGATGTTCGCACCCGGGACGTCCTCGCTGAGCCGCAGGTCCCTGCCCACGCCTCCGCCGGTTTCCTCCAGGTTGCCGTCGGTTCCTTCGGTTTCCGCGCCTTCCGAGCCAGGATGGCAACGGCTGCCAGCCTTCCGACGCGACCGATTGCCAGCGGATGGCCAACGAGCATCGAAAGCAGACGGCATCCCTTGTCTATTAGTCCTGTTAGAGTCTGTTAGAGCCATCTCGGAAGCCTCTAGGGGGCCTCCTGGTGACCTCGGATGCAATCTTGGGGTGGGTGGCTTGAAATACCAGAAAGAGCGTCTGCTGAGCACGCTGGGAGGAAGTCAGCCGCCCCTGCCTTTTGGAAACGCCTCTGCGGCCAAATGTTGGGCCGACGTCTTGCCAAGCTGTTGGGCACGAGTCGTTGTGGTGGCCTTTGGGGAGGGAGGGGAGGGAGGTGCAGGTAGAGGAGGAGGAGGAGGAGGAGGAGGAGGAGGAGGAGGAGGAGGCCTCCTGGGGGCTGTCTGGGGGCATCTTGAGGGACTCGGAGAGCCTCTTGGGGGCATCCAGGGGCCCTTGTAGGTCGCCTTGGGGGTCTCTAGGGCCATCTTGGTGCCCAATTCTTGGGGTCTTCTGGGACAATCTTGGGGCCAGCTTGGGCTCCTCTGTGTGGGGCAGCCTTCGGCTGCCAGACGCCCGAAAAGGCGAGAACGCGAAGCATCTGCATCAAAATCGCGGCGAAGATCCATGATGTTGGCCTCTTCGGGCCCTCTTGGAGGGCCTCTTGAGCCGTATCGGGGGCTCTTTGGGCCGTCTTGGGGCCATCTTGGGCAACATTGGAGGCATCATAGGGCCAGCTGGGGGCCCTCTTGGGGGCATACTGGCCGTCTCAGAGGCGTTTCATGACTGCCTTGGAGGCTATCTTGGGCCATCTTGGCAAATTTGACGCCTAGTTCTCTTGACTTTGGCGTCGGCCGCGTGGCACGCTAAGCACCACTTTGCACGGAGAAGGTTGCGGCGGATGGACTCGCGTTTGGGCCTCTAGGATGCCGTTTGGGGTCTCTTGGGCGGCGGAGCCTCCACAGCCGTGAAACAGCTCCAGGGTAACACGACGTATGGCAAGCCCCATCCGCTACTCATGCCGCCCTGGACCAGGGGCGGCCATGTACGGGATGGGGGGATGGGGGTGTTCCGCCTCGCTTCCGCAGTCTCGCCATGCGAGGCGCGCAAGAACAGTACGGGCATGCGCGAGCCCCACACGTAGCTTGAAGGCACGGCGTTTGGACTCCCTGCAACCGTCCCCATCTCTGTTGATCTCGCCGTTCCTGTCGCAGCTTCCGCCTCATGCTGCAATGATCATGTCTGTTGGGGATAGTGGCGACGCTTATACGATTGCCATCCTCATCCCCATCCTCTTCCCACATCGTTCGATAGCCTGATTTTCATAAGCGTGCTGCTCGTGCGCGACAACATGTCAGTTGCTCGCGCTCGCATCCCTGCCCGAAGTCGACAAGGACGCCAGAGGAGGAGGAAGGAAGGAGGAGGAGAGGAGGGAGGAAGGAGCAGGGAGGGAGGAGGAGGAGGAGGGAGGAAGGAGGAGGGAGGAAGGAGCAGGGAGGGAGGAGGGAGGGAGGGAGGATATGGAGGGAGGAGGAGGAGGAGGAGGAGGAGGAGGAGGATCTCGCTTCTGCACCAGCAGGCACTAGTTGGGAAGCACCGTCCTGGGGGACATACATAGACCGGGCACGGGTCTACGTGCCGGGCTGCTCTGGCCCGTCGAGCTCGATCCGGTCACCTCGGCAGCTGCTGCCTGCAGGCGAGCAGTGGCGAAGCGTCCCGGCTCGCCTATAGCCTCACCAAAGAATGTTCTAAGAATTGTTTTTGGTTCCCGCGAAATGTTCTTTGAACATTTCTGGCCAGGACTGTCTTGTTTTAACACATCGGGGATATGTTCTAAGAATATTGTTTTTGTTCTTAGAATATTTTGGGTTCTACGAACATTTCGTGGTAGGACTACAGATATGCCGGGACGGTCGGTCCCTGCTTAACACCTCGGCAGCTGCTGCCTGAAGGCGAGACGAGGAACACGGCAGTGGCACGCGGGGGAGGAGAGGGAGGAGGCGGCGGTGATGTTGCCAGGCGTTTGCCACCTGGAGGGCGGGACGGAGGCGAGCAGGAGCAGGACGGTGATTCTCGAGAGGGGAGGGCGGGCGGCATCGGCGCGGAGGGGGAGGACGGCCTGGGGCGGAGGGCGACCGCGGTGGCGCGCAGAGTAATTGGCTCGAGCCCGCTCGCCGCAGCGATGCAGTCGCAGATGGCGGCGCGCCTGCGCTCCGTCCTGTCTCGGCGCGGCGGCCCCTGCGGGGTGCTCAGAGCGGCATGCCACGTCGTGCCGGTCAGTGGATACCCCGTGCCTCGTAATCCAGGAGGAAAAAACACACAGACACAATGAATCGTCGTATATTCGAAGTGGGGGGGAAACAAGAACCCAGAAGATATGGGAAAATATGGGGAATCCTGTTATTCGTGTGTGTACTCATTTGTGTGCCACGGGGCCCCTTCAGTAACCTCGAGCTGGGTGGCATGAGTCGTGCATCACCCGCCGCCGCTCCGCAGCGAAAGCCATGCTCCTCCTCCTCCGCCTTCACCGATCACTCTTCTGGTTCCGTGATTTCGTCCCAGTGAAAGCGCTCATGGCTTGGACTTGGGCAGACCCCGCCAGCCCGGGCGGCCCCTGCGCCTCGGGAGTTGCGGGGCGGCCTTGGGGGCAGGACGGCGGGCTTCTACGCAGCGCTTCGGCGACCCGTCCTCCTCCTCCTCCCTCCTCCCTCCTCCTCCTCCTCCTCCTCCTCCTCCTCCTCC